GATACCCCTACAGTAGCATCTGAGCCCCCAGTTATAATGGTTGACGCTTGGTGGTGCTCATTCTACGCAAATTCATTTTCGTAACTTCAGCAGATACCAGAATTGTGGTTACGGCTGCTCATGAGTGCATTGTCCTAACATGCATTCAGTATATGCAGTATTGTGTTATGACGATAATATAGGCGGTTAGTGACCCTTGAAACGACCCTGTGAACAACGATACAATATTTGGCTTTGTAGGGTTTGTAGCTCTGAATATTGTCAGAAATGAAAATATAAATGCCAGATAAAATGGTATGGAGAAAAACAGAATTAATTTAATAATTTTGTCTTTAGCAGAGTAGGACAGCAAAGTGTAACAATGATTTAAGTGATACAACTTTGAGAAAGTGCTTGCACTGGTCAGGTCAACAACAGCACTTGTAGTGTGAGAAGACCAATAACAGGATAAAGTTGCGAGTTGCTGCTGACTAGACATTTGCGTGTATATGCAGTTGTGTGAGCTAGAGTGAGAACGTTTTTATAATAAATCAATTCAACAAGTAGGATCAGTTACATGGATTCCCATGGCAGTAATATTTTGTTCTTAGTGCATCATTAAACATATGTATGGCAACTTCCATGTAATTCTGGCATTGGGAGAAGGATTGATATACAGCATTACCCCGCTTTACACGGTTTCACTTTCCGCGATTTCTCATTTACGGGTACCTTGCCAGAACCGGACTTTCACTTTCCGCGGTGCATCTACTCATATACGCGTGAAGTATAATTTTTTTATTTTTTTATTTAGCTCATAAAATTCATACAAATTACCCGGCCAGAATATAATTTACGTTGCTGGAATTCTTACAATATGATGATCATTTTGAATATAAACATCATGGATTTTGCATTAGACATACAAATTTTAGATCTAATGTAATAATTTGGTTTACACAAAGCAAATATTTTATCCTTTGTGCAGAATATATGAAGTTTACATTCAAAATATTCCCTGACCTGCAAGGAATCCAGAAATGTCAATTTATTTCATACATAGTAGCAATACTGTACAATATTGTGTTATGTTATACAGACATTACCACGCAGTGAGGGATTTATAAGTAAGATACAGTGACCCCTCGGTTAACGAACTCAATCTGTTCCAGTAGGTTGTTCGTTAACCGAAAAGTTCGTTAACCGAAACCATTGTTTCAATGGGTTTTTGGGTAATTGGTTCCAGCTCACCGAAAATTTCCTAAATTCAACAAAAATGGTAGAAAAGTTTACTTACTTTGAGGTGTGTATGTAGAAGGCTCCTGGATGATGATGATGATGATGATGATGATGATGATGATGATGATGATGATGATGATGGGGGGAATTAGAATGGGGGTGGAGGAGAAGGAAGAAGAGAAGGCATTGGGGTGGAAGAGAAGTCACCCCATGGCACCATTTCACACATAAAATTTTAGTTCTCTTGGTGTATTTCAAGATTATTTTCTTTAAATCAACACTGCACTGCATTATATATTGTCAATATGTAAAATATATTTCAAAATGACCAATAATTTGCTTGGAAACACAGAAAAAAAGCGTTTAGTTGAAGAGAGTCTCAAGCAAGATGTTACCTTCACTGAAAACAGAGAGAGACTAATGCCTGTCTGGTGTGTTAACAGGCGGGATGGCACGCCAGAAACTAGTTTCTTTACCTTCAATTTTGTTCAATAATTGTTAAAATGACTAAAAAAGTTAATATTAAACTTTTAAAATTATTGAATAGTATAAACTTCTTGATATTTACTAAAATAATAAGGAATTTAAGCCCTAAAACCGATTACTGTATTGGCGGACTGATACTAAAGCTGGTTGCCCGGTCAGTGCAAGCGAAAACATGTTGAGGTCGGTTCGTAAGAAATTCGTTAACCGAATTTTTGTTCATTAACCGAATTGAAGATCCTTATGGAAGGCAGTTCGTTAACCGAAATTTCGTTAACCGAGGCGTTCGTTAAACGAGGGGTCACTGTACGCAAATTTCGGAGATGTGTTCCTCCTCTTATTTCTCAGTAACTTTTGTCTCTTGTACAGCTTCTTCGTTAAACAAGATGAGTTAGCCTCGAGGACCAACATAGAGCACTCTTATCTTAGCTCAGTGTTTCAAGATTAAACCAAAACATAGCTCCTGATACCTGCACTTACCTGTATATGGTAACATGTGTGTTGACGAGCATCAAGGACATAACTGTTTGATGTTCTCATGGTTGTTTTGATGAAAGCAAAATGCTTGGAAGCTCCGAAGGTTAAAATTTTGTACAATGAACTGCTGCTGTGCTCTGATCTGAAACTTGCCACAGTTGTTACTCACATAACTGACTTATGATGGTGGCATTATGGAGGTGCTACAGTTTTTTCATGTCCTTTCGTATATTAGCTTCCCTGCTATTGTACTGTGTGTGTTCAGCTCCTCTTACAGTTATAAGGGATTGGTGTGAAACATGACACAAAAATGTTCGTCAAAAAAAGACCAGAAAGTAAAAGAAAATGGTTAAATGGCTCAATTCACATGACTGCAAAACACCCAGTGATTGGCTGTGACGTCACTAGCTTGTAGTGAAGCCGAGGGTGGGAGTCAGCTAGTTGATGTACGCTCTCTGACCAAAAGTAATGTTCAAGGAAAGGAAAAAGCATCATTGGTGGAGTGTGGTGTTTCGTTTCAATGGGCAAGAGTAAGGAGAGCCACACCAGGAAAAATATTCGTCACAGTACCGAGAGAAATGATGATAAGGAAGATGTGGTGGTTTGCTGCTCGTCAAGTTTCCCACTGCTTCTACTGTTGTGAAGATCATTTTAATGTATCAAGTTAATATATGCTGTCATGTCTTTAATAAATGGGGTAAATATTTAGAAGTTTCCAACACCAATTTATATATTGAGTCTTATAGTATTGGAAGAAAGAAAAAATAAAAATTTACTCTAGCGTTTTCATCGGAAATTTATATTTTTTGATTATTTTAACAGATAAATTCACCAATAATATTACTTGTTTAAAGTGGGTAGGGCTTTGAAATAGAGGAAAACCTGACGTAATGTTTCCTAATCTTTAAAAATCCTAAAACTATAAAATGTTGGTAAATTTTTACAAGTTGCACATAATGGTTTTGGCCACGAAACTTAAATTTTTTTGATGGTATTTGGTGTGTTGTGCACGATTCTGACCTTCATTTGTATCGCAAATGACTCGTTTTTGAGTTTGACAGTCTTGGGGGACCTGTGGGAAATCGGAATTTTTGAGTGGAGGGAGAGCAAAAACGAGTGATATGCTATATAAATGACCAAAGTTAATTCTGATTTTACATTTTAAATAAGTTTAAAAAAGAAAGCCAAAATTTTAGTATCCAAGCCAAGTTTTGGCAAAAGATTATCAAATTCGGATGAATCACATCAAAACCCATCGGAAAAACCTAGGTTTCAGCTCAAATTCAGTTTTCATATCAGGGTTCAGGGGTGCAGATCCTGAGGGGGGGGAGATGGAGGGGATGCATCCCACTCTACAATCGAGGTGCAATTCCAATTTCCCAAGCATAGTTTAAACTTCCCACGCTTAGTTTAAACTTCCCACATGCTAGAGAGCATTGCAATCCAAACCTCCTGCTTCCACAACGAGTGTCACATTTACTTTTACAGTTACAATGCATTGCTTCCAGAAGGTAGGCTGGAGCTGGCTGTAAATCTGTGGAGACAGGGACCACTTATTGTCCTGTATCTTCCATCCCCATTCCTCTGTAAGTAAATCTCTCTCAGACCACTGCTGAACTTGATGGTAAAAATGAAAGCTGTGATATTGAGCAGCAGGAGATACTAGTGGCAGGTTCTGTGGCTTTACACATGTTTTACAGTGGGGTATGCTATAATGAACCTTGTTCGTTATAGGATTAATCCATTCCAGGCCCCCAAATACAACCACTTAACACTGAAAAATATAATATTAAATTGTAAAAATTGTAAAAAAGTGCATAAATATGCATCTAAACTCCTGAAATAAAATATCATTAATACTTGTAATACAGAAACAATAAATTAGTAAAAAAAAAAAAAAAATTATAATGTTCGTTGTAGGAGTTTCGTTCGTTATAGCATTATCAATTTTATAGGTAAAACCGTTCGTTATAGGAATATTCGTAGTAGGATCCGTTCGTTATCGCATACCCCACTGTACTTGTGGATACCTTTTGGCGAAAGAGTCTCAGTCTGAGTTTGTCAAGAGTATCTCCAGGTTCACCATGATACAAGGATACTAATGCATTCTCCTCAGCCTTGATTATATCACAGCAATCTCCTTCTGTAGATCTGAGTATAGCAGCTTGATGACGGAAGTACAGACTGGATTTAGCCCATTTCAGGGCAATGTGTTTGCCAACACCAAACAAACGGGACATGGTGTCACACCCCAGGATAGCATAAATGAAAAGAATATTGTCGCATACATCCTTATCAAGTGACTGCTGAAACTGTCTGATATTCCAGCACCTTGTTGATTTACATAAGAACATAAGAATGGAGGAAACCACAGCAGGTTTATTGGCCCTTACCGGGCAGTCCCGATTACACCCAACCCCTATTGCTCATATATCCATCCAACCTATGTTTGAAGCTATCCAGCATATTCGAGTTAATGATGATGTTTGGTGACCTGTTCCACTCATCCACTACTGTATTTCCAAACCAATATTTACCTATCTTGCGCCTAAATCTAAATTTGTCTAATTTAAAACAATTGCTACGAGTTCACTCCAGGTTGGATAGTTTGAGTACCTTTGTTATATCACCTTTGCTTAACCCTGACTTCCATCTGTACACCTCGATCATATTGCCCCTCACTACATCTCTCGAGGGAGTGCAAATTAAGATGCTTTTACCTGTCTCACTTAACCTAACCTTACCTGATTTGACCTAATATCACTTAAATCTTACATGCTTTAAATGCAGTGTTTTTTTCTTATACTGTATCTTTGTTTCAGGATCCTCTGCCAGAATCAAGCAAGGAAAGGAAACATGGGGTTATGTGAATGTGCGGGAAAAAGCTCACATGTTCTTTTGGCTATATTACACCACTGCTGATGTTGACTACAAGCTGCGCCCCTTGGTGATGTGGCTACAGGGTGGCCCAGGAGCATCATCTACTGGCATTGGCAATTTTCTGGAGATAGGACCACAGAACCAGTTCCAAAAGAACAGAACAAATGCTTGGGTAGGTATTCCTTTGATAGATGTACAGGACTTAGTTATATTTTTCAAAATTAGTTATTTTCCACTATATACAGCATACTGTATGTAACGACTTGGGGTCGCACTGGATAGGAGACAGTACTAGACAGGGTCATACTGGAAAATGCTTGGGAACCCCTGTGTCTAACTAGTGGTCACTCAATGCTTCCAGGCTCCCGTTGCCAGGTGTACGATTGAAATATGTATGGGAGAAATACATACCGGTACATATCTTGTAGTCTAATTTGAAAAGGGTGATGGGCACAGTGATAAACAAATTATATAAACCATGCATTTACCTATACAGTAATAACATAATAAGGAACATTGTATCTTTACTACCGGGTAGAATTAATTTGTTATTATTTCCCAAAACAACAATTGATTATTTTTTATTTTTGAATAATCTTAATTTTTGAAATATTTTTTAGCAAATAATTTTGTCCAGCTTAAATGACATCTGCCTTAGTGGAGTCTGCCTTAATGGGGTTTTACTGTAGTATATACCTCTTTTCTTGTGTCTGCTCTATTCAACATATTCACAAAAGTGTCCTGTTCATACTTCTTAGGTCTCTCTTTTGGCCCTACACTTTGCTTCCAGGTATTCTTCCTGTCACCACTCATGTTTCAGGTCTTAGCAATCTACTTTCCTCCTTTATTGTTGTGTTCACTTCATTCCACCACCATTATCACTTTTCTTTACTGGTTTCCAGTAACTGCAGGAATGATATCCAGCTCCCACAGGATAACACATGATATTTATTTTTTGGGTCCATTCATTAAAATTTCCAAGAAAGGATTGATTGGGTTGATATGCAAACTACCCATACTGTGTTTTGGCCCAGCATCTTGTTTCACCACCCCTCACACACAGTCATTGGATGTTTCCAGTCTTCTTAACTCTGCATAAAATGCTTCTCTTACAGTCTGTTACTTCAACTTCAAGATTCTCCTTGCATCATGTTGCTCTTAATACAGGAAATCAGAGATGAATTAGATGGAGAAAATTAAATAAGCGTGAATAGTATCTTTATCCTTGTTGTGTAAATAAAGAATGTCTTGGTGGAGGTTATGTATTTGTCATTTTTGGGGGTAATGAGAGACATATCAGTTCCTATTAAGCACTGAAAAGTAAGCTTAGTCATAAAATTCTGGCCAGCTTCTTGCTCAGTCAAGGTTCATCTACAAATTTCAAAGTTTCCAATCAACTCACTACAGTACAGTATACAGGGTAATTGTCTCTGGGTGCTTCTGTCACCTACCATAATAACTTGGCTCATGTATACATAGATGAAATATTAAAAACAAATTTGAACCAAAATAGAAATTTGAGTGGCATTTATATAAGATTTTTTTATTCCTGTGATTTCAGACTGAGGAAGTGAACATTCTATTTGTGGACAACCCTGTAGGTACCGGCTACAGTTATGTTGAAGACCCAAAACTTTTGGCTCGGAACAACACAGATATTGCTAATGATTTGCTGACATTCATGACAGGATTCCTTACAAAAGTAAGTAGGTACTTTACAGTAGAAGGTTTAAAACACAGGTACTGTACTCGGGAAGATTGTTGAGGGAATAAATATACTCTTGAGACACTTCACCCCATTGAAAGTACAGTAGTACGGTAATTCAAGTATAGAAGTTATTTAAGGTTCTCCTGAGTTTTACTTATAATTTAACTTATGTGTGTGTCTATATATTGTCACGATCACTTCCCTCTTATATACTTAGCCTTCAAAGCACTGGAATGTCACTTAATAGTACTTATAATATTCACCCCACAAACAACCAAAATTCCAGCGCTGGGACAGTGACCTAACATAAATGCAAAAAGCTCCCATGGAAACTCTACACCAATTGACAATATATATATTTTTAGACATAGGTCACTCAAAGTTATATTAATATGACAAAATAATTAGTGAAAGATGGTCCATGTTAATGAAAAAAAAGCTTAACTAAAAATAACATGAATATTGCTTATCTACCATATTTACATGTCTTATGCACAAGAACACCAAAATGAAATAACACTGTAATACAAACACTCCTACCCAAGAATATTTTGGGCTAATACATGTATGAACTGAGTAAATACCATTAAAGAAAGAGTACAAAAATGAAACAATATTGAGTAACACAAACACTCCTACCTGAGAACACCTAGGGCAAAATCCTATATTAACTTGGCAAATACCAGTCTTACCACATACACAGCAGCAACCAGAACCTTCACATGCATAGGATCCTCCGACCCTCTCCAGTGCACCTCAGATAGAAGCAAGACGGCAGTGGAAGGAGAAAACCAGGAGCGTCTGCTTCGAATGAGAGTAGAGGGAAACTGTAACTGTCACGACGCTCCATGTCCCCCGCATAAACATCAGAACAAAAGAACATCTACTGTATATGCCCAGCATTCCCAATATGTACCCTTACTTTTTACTTTTATTTTTATTTATTTATTTATTTTTTTATCTTCACCACTGATCGGCTCGTTGGCCGCTTGGGCGGTCGGTAACATCTCTGATACCTACTGTTGGCAGATACTGGGCATGCACTGGCTCCTGAATATATCGGAACCTGCTCCAGTGTTGGTCAAGTCTGGCCTTCAATGAGCTCACACTCGGTGCCGTCACAACTCTCTCTGGCAGATTGTTTCAAGAGTTAACAACTCTCACTCCGAAAAAGTTTGCCCTCACAGTTTTGTGGACTTGTGGTTTCTTCAACTTTTAAGCTGTGACCCTTTGTGGGGCAGACGTCCGCCAGCTCCATGTATGTACATTTGACCAAATAGTGCCCAGGGGTGTCATTTCAGATTTTGCTGAGGGATGGCAACACCATTACCTACATGCAAAGAGTAGAGGTCCAAATCCTGCTCCACCGTGGTGCTGTAACAGACGGAACACGTTCCAACACGTTTTATGTTTTCAGTTTGCATCTGCTCGGTGTGGCTGCTAGCAATATGACTTACTTCCTTGCTGCTATTTAGTTTATAAATGATAGGCAATGGTAACAATGAAAATAGACGAATACTTATCATTTTGTTTAATTATGCATAGTAAAAATACCATTGAGATGTTCTCACCAAATTCAATTCGCCTATATGAAAAAGGAATATAATTAAAATTTTCCTTGGAGAGCAAGACAGTCCTTGGGAGTTGCCCCCCCAGCCCCCCCAAATTACGCCTCTGGTAGTGCCACCTGAGATGTTTATACACTTTGATTAGGTCGCCCCTCGCCTGTCTGTAGGGGCGACCAGAAAAACACAGATACAGAGTGGATAATAATAATATTAATATGGTTGAGCCAGTTGAGAACCTGAGCTCTCTTTTAGGCACCTGATATATACTATACATTTATCTCAAGGAAGTATTATCTCACATTTAGTAACATCTGGAATAGTACAATAGCATGGTGGTAATAAGAACATCTTATAATGTTACCACAGTTATCACTTCAATATTTATTTATTGTATTTATTATTTTTTTGTTTATTCTTTTTATTTGTATTATAAGTATACAGTATATATAAATTACAGTGGAATTGAAAAACATAAGTATAATGGGGGAGCAGTACAACATGGGTTGTACAGTATTAAGGTTGAACACGAGGACAGAGCTGTCAGGATTATGTTTAGTTGGCAAATATGTTTATTGCAATGGTAATTTCTTATCTATTTACATGATAATTTCCGATAAAGTGCTTTTGATGGTACAATAAAAGCAGGTACTGTAAATATAGTAGGTATTACATGCTATATAGTTGCAGGCGCTCCAATCTCTCTGGGTAACTAAGGTTCTGTAGAGCAGGCACCAGTCTGTTTGCCCTCCTTTGGACATTTTCAGCCAATTGACAGTCTCTAGCATACCTCGGGGACCAGACGGGGTGACAATACTCTAGATGGGGAAGCAACTCACTCTTGAAGATCGTGACGAGCAATGGACCATCCAGATATCTAAACGATCTTCTCATAAGACCTACTAGTTTCGTTGCCTGATTCACCTTCTCACAATGGCCTGAGAACTAAGTACATTATCGACATACACCCAGGTCCTTTTCACATATGGTCTCAAGTAATCTCAGTCTCTTCGTCCTGTTGGGATATGTGATACACCTCCTTACTATTGGTGCATCCTTTTACACTTTGTGATATTGAATCTTAGCAGCCATTTCCTCGACCATTCTTGAAGCTCACAGAGATCTTTCTGCAGTTCTTCACAGTCTGTTTGGTTCTTAATTTTCCTAAATAACTTTGCGTCATCTGCAAACATTTGTAAGGATGAGTGTATAGCTTCTGGCATGTAATTAATGAAACAAACAAACAAACAACAACGGGCCCAATACATTGCTCTGTGGTACCTTGCTTGTCACAGGTACATATTACGATTTCATACCGTTTATCACCACACACTGTTTGCGGTCCTGCAGAAAGTCTCCGATCTGCGCTGGGAGACTTCCCCGATTCCCATACTCTTCCAGTTTGATTCTCAGCCTTTCATGGAGTATATATTGTCGATATATCTGCCTTGTTCTAAAATTTGAGTCCAAACAGCCAGTACCTTGAGTAATTGTGTTAAGCAGGATTGTCCTGGCATAAAACTATGTTGGCATTCCTTTACAAGGTTGTTTCGTAGTAGATATTCCTTCATGGCATCTCTACAATGCTCTCTAGTATTTTGCACACTATGCTGGTCAGGCATACTGGTCTCTAATTATTCGTGGAGTGATGATCGCCTTTCTTGAATATAGGACTCACATAAGTCATTTTCCAGTCATCGGGGACCTTTTGTTCATCCAGGCATTTGCAGAACAGGATCTTAAGGGGCTCTGCAAGCACGTTACACAGTTCTCTTAACACTCTCGGGTGTATCATATCTGGGCCGGGATTTTTGTGAATCTTTAGCTTTGACAGTCTATTTCTTATAACCTCATCCGAGAACACAATGTGGGTCAGCTTTGTGTCAAACCGTCTTTCCTCAAACGTAGGAATATTGTTCACATTTTCTTGTGAACACCGATGAAAAAAATTTATTCAATGCCTCCTACTTATCCTGGTCAGAATCTGTATAACTACCATCTTCAAGCCTCAGGTCCGATATGCCAACTTGCGTTTTTAATTTCAACTTTGCGTAGCGGCTAAAAGCCTTTGCTTGGCTCCTGGATCTGGCAAACATCCTCCTGTCTTGCTCATCATTTGTCCTAACCCACATCTCAAAATTCTGAGTTTTCTTCTTAACTTTGCCTATCTTAATACAGCATAACATCAGTCTTTATCACCCAATATAAGAGTGCATTAAACAATAAAATAATATGCAGATAATGTTATGATATAATAAAAGAATATTTACAATAATATATGGAAAACATAGTGAGTACACAGACTTCAGTATACAAACAATACTTCACTAGTCAGGAATTGAACCCTGGATTTCTGAGAATAAATAGGGATCACTACCATGGCACCACAAGGGCAACAAAGTTATCCCAGGCTTTGTTGTATTTCACACAAAGCCTGTTCCTTTGTCTTATTCTTAAACAACAGGAGCCTCCACCAGTGATAACTTGTGCCAAATACAGTATGTGATCATCTGTAAAATGCTACCCCCAGTTATGAATCATACTTCACCAAGGTCATATATTTCTCAATAACATTATTTTTCTGCATTTTACACATTGATACTAATTAAGTTACTGTACAGTATTTACAAAAAATGTACCGGGCATTCTTAGGTAATATCTGATCATAAATCTTAAATAACTGGACATTTAAAACATATGTCAACTCTTCCCAAAACTGTGTTACCAGATCACCTGTCTCATATCAGGCACATTGGCTTGGGATGAATTACTGCTGTTGACTGTAGTAATAAACTACAGGTAATAATGTTTTTACTTCACTTAAAGTATTTCTACAGTAGTGTAAAATGAAGAGAAGTTGAAATGAAGTTTATATCATTTGTTTATGATAATTAAGAAGTTTTACATCAATGTGTTTCTTTGTTAACTTTTTAAATTTTTTTTTACAGGTTCCAGAGTTTGAGACTGTCCCATTTTACATCTTTGCAGAGTCTTATGGAGGCAAAATGGCTGCCAAATTTGCACAAACACTCAGAAAGGTAAGTGTTGCATGGAAAGGTTTAAAGTTTTGGAGGTTTTCAGTCTTTCTTTTGAAACATTATTATACTGTATTATCAATTGACCTAGTTCATAACTTTGTGTTTGTCATTAAACTTGTTTCACAGTTTTCTCATTACGTTCTAATGATTTTCTTTTACACATTTATGAGTAAGATTATCAAAACTAGGTACAGTGGTCCCTCGCTTAACGAGCACAATCCGTTCTAGAAGGTTGCTCGTTAACCGAAAAACTCTTTAACCGAAACCATTGTTTCAATGGGTTTTTGGGTAGTTGGTTCCAGCTCACCGAAAATTGCCTAAATTCAACAAAAAAGGTAGAAAAGTACACTTACTTTGAGGTGTGTATGTAGAAGGCTCCTGGATGATGATGATGGGAATTAGAATGGGAGTGGAGGAGAAGGGAGAAGAGAAGGCATTGGGGTGGAAGAGAAGTCACCCCATGGCGCCATTTCACCCATAAAATTTTAGTTCTCTTGGTGGAATTCAAGATTATTTTCTTTAAATCAACACTGCACTGCATTATATATTGTCAATATGTGAAATAAATTTCAAAATGACCAATAATTTGCATGCAAACACAGAAAAAAGCATTTAGTTGAAGAGAGTCTCAAGCAAGATGTTACCTCCACTGAAAAGACACAAAGACTGACGCCTGTATGGTGTGTTGAGAGGCTGGATGGCACGCATAAAACTAGTTTCATTACCTTCAATTATGTTCAATAATTGTTAAAATGACTAAAAAATTTCATATTAAACTTTTAAAATTATTGAATAGTATAAACTTCTTGATATTTGCTAAAATGGTAAGGAATTTAAGCCCTAGAACCGATTATTGTATTGGCGGACTAATACTACAGCTGGTGGACCGCCAAATGCAAGCGAAAACATGTGCTGGTCGGCTCGTAAGAAACTCGTTAATCGAGGGATTGCTCGTTAACCGAAGTTAAGAATCTTATGGAAGGTAACTCGTTAACCGAAATCTCGTTAACCGAGGGACCACTGTACTATACTGTACAGGATTTTTCATAACAATGTAATCATACACAGTATTGGAGAAAGAATAATGCAGGATGTAGAATTTGTTTATGATTTACAGGCTGTGTGGATACACACTGCAATGTATCAGTATGCCAGAGCCCCTGTAACATGATTCTCAATGCAGTGACACTGCTACACTTCTATCTATTACCAGGGGGGGGGAGGGGTGGTTAAGAGTTGCCAAATGATATAGATGTTGCTGTTCCAGGATAGAAAGATTGAAGGGCATGTCATAGTCACCCAGGGCTCCATCAGTTACAGATTAGGTAATGCTGTATGTACAGTACTGAAGTGCACATAGAATGAAAATATAAATCGGTGAAATCTTTACATTTTAACACAATTTCTCATCCCCGAAAAAAGTAGCACATCCCCCAAAATTTTCCAGGTACTGGAGAAAGTTTTCTAAGAGCCTAAACTATGCATCTCACACAGATAAGCACAGGAGCTGTATTTATTTACACAAACACCACTGTACACATACAGGGGTCCCTGGGTTATGAACGGGTTCCATTCCTGAGGACATTCTTAAGTCGGATTTGTATGCAAGTTGGAACACATGCTATGTGCAAACCGTTCTTACAGAACAATGTTTAAAATCCCACTATATCATAGCCTAAGTCCTTATGTACATCTAAAATCACTTAATTGAAGATAAAAGAAGAAAGAGAATGACAAAATACAATAAATGAAAGTAGAAAAATAAGTCATCGGGTAAATAAAATACTGTAAATTTCAAATTTAACCCTATTTGTATCGGCAGGCGTTCGTAAGTAGGGACCCCCTGTACAATATATTGTAAATAAGCAAAATAATGTGTACTACTACTGCTGTACTGTATATACTGTACTCACCAGCAGATGATGTCATCTTGAGTTTGTGATGCAGGCAGGACAAAGGGTGATTTAATGAATCAAGATGGCCTGCTTGGACCTATACCTTCTAATATAACAGCTGGTGCTAACTGTCACTCTCCTCTTCCTCCATGAAGGAGAGAGGCAACTCAGGAGTGACATGAATGATTTCCACTGCCGACAAAGTGCTGGGTTGTGATGGACAGGGTGATTACAAGGCATGTGGTGGTGGTGATGGTAAAGGTGGTACAGGTTGACTATCAAAAATCCGCAGCCTCGGGACCTGAGGAGTGCCGGATTTTCGAAAATGCCGGAAAACTGATGGGTATATTTGCTGTATAAGTTTAACAGAAAATGACTACCTGTACAGTCCTTTAAACAAAGAAAATTAAACACTAAATGAAAAGCAAATGAAATTTTATTATATATGCTGTATACAGTATATTTAACAGAAAATTACTACCTGCACAGTCCTTTAAAAAAAAAGAAAATTAAACACTAAATGAAAAGCAAATGAAATTTTAATGTTTACCAGGCTAAACAGCAGATGGGCTGTCAGGATTATCATCTTTATCATTGACAGTGACAACATCCTCAGCAACAGGAACAGCTTCAACTTGTCTTGAAGTTGATGGCAGTGGATTATCAAGTGTGGACACCACTGTTGCTTCCTGCTTTCTAGCTATTTTTTTTAATATATCGTGCAATGTCTGTTGCTTCATATACTTGGGTCTTTCTCTAATAAGTTTATCTTGGAGCAAGAAAACATTCATGATTTCTTGTTCATTTACAAAACTTCGTTGCTCTAGTCCAGCCAGCAGTTCAGTTGTCAACGTAATTAACCTGTCAATAGAGATTCTGTCTCTCACATCTTCCTCATTTTCTTCACTGTTTTCATCTTCATCACTACCTGTACAGGCATTTCTCTCCGGACTTTTAACCATATCTACAATTTCAGAATCAGTGTAATGATGAGCTGTAGGCACATTATCATCAACATCCAACCATTCTGTTAAAACATCTTCATTTACCCCTGATGAAAGCTCCTTGGCATCAGGATTAGTTACATCTTTAACATAAGCAAGAAGTTCATGTATAAGGTGCTTTTCTTTGGAAACCGTAAACCCTGCAAAATCATTTTCTGTGTCTTCGTTAGAATGAGAAGTAAACATTAAACTTGGCCACAATTTATGCCATCAAATTTTTTAAGCACTTCCACTTTCTCTGCAATCGACAACGCACGATGTTTACGTTTTACGCCACCGCTTTTCTTTGCTGAATCCATGATGGGGCTACCTATACAGCAGCAATTAAATGATAAAATCAGAAGGAATGAGCATGAATGCTTGTTAGCAGGTGCGAGCAAGACCCAACAGCTGATTCTGGAGTACAGCACTATCAAAACATAAACGGCGCGTCCAGAAAACAATGGTGCGCCAAGGCAGGAAATTTGAAAATGCGCTCCGAAATCCATGCCGGAAAACTGAAGGTTCCGGTTTATCGATTGGCGGATTTTTGATGGTCAACCTGTACTGTAGTGTGCAATATCTGATGTTGAGGGCTGTGAGTTGGGGCCAGAAACACTGTCACTACTGGTACTAGCCAAGCTGCCATAGGACACAGCACTAGGACACCTGGGGACTGGAGTGTGGACCTTGGAGTAGTAGTCCCCAATCTTATGCTGCTTCTTCTTGGTCCTCTTTTGCAGTTTATCTGTATCAATTGCTCTCATCTCCCAAAGGTTCTGGTAAAAGGGGAGGAAATGGAGGCTGTTCAGGTATGTCCTCGCCTCTCTGAGACTGGTGGTGGCAACTTTTTCCTCTCTGTTGTCCTTCTTTGTAGGACCAGACAACACTAGATGCTATTTCCTACTGTGCGAGAGCTCCATAGCAAGAATCGCCGACATCCACCTGCAGTCACTCGCCCACATCCTCCTCGGTCACAACAGTATCGCCACTGTTCCTGAAAAGTGTGTGAACCACTTTGAAACCCTCGAAGTCTGCATCCTCCTGTAGTAACACAGTTTCTGCAGCAGCACCACCACCATTCAGGAGCTTCTTCCATCTATTCCTCAGTGTCATCTCCATGATCTTACCCCAGGCTGCCCTGAGGTTGAACACTGCATCCCGGATGTAGTCCTTGATGTTCTTCAGTGTTCTGGTCCCCCCAAGTGTAGGCTGAGCTATCATTGCTATCACATGTAACACTCTGTGGAAGGCTGAGCTATCATTGCTATCACCACTCTGGGGAAGGCTGAACTATCATTGCTATCACATGTAACACTCTGGGGAAGGCTGAGCTATCATTGCTATCACCACTCTGGGGAAGGCTGAACTATCATTGCTATCACATGTAACACTCTGGGGAAGGCTGAACTATCATTGCTATCACATGTAACACTCTGTGGAAGGCTGAGCTATCATTGCTATCACATGTAACACTCTGTGGAAGGCTGAGCTATCATTGCTATCACATGTAACACTCTGGGGAAGGCTGAGCTATCATTGCTATCACATGTAACACTCTGTGGAAGGCTGAGCTATCATTGCTATCACATGTAACACTTTGTGGAAGGCTGAGCTATCATTGCTATCACATGTAACACTCTGGGGAAGGCTGATCTATCATTGCTATCACATGTAACACTTTGTGGAAGGCTGAGCTATCATTGCTATCACATGTAACACTGTGGAAGGCTGAGCTATCATTGCTATCACATGTAACACTCTGGGGAAGGCTGAGCTATCATTGCTATCACATGTAACACTCTGGGGAAGACTGAGCTATCATTGCTATTACATGTAACATTGCAGAAGGCTGAGCTCTCATTGTGAGCTCTTATTGCTATCACATGTAACAATGGGGAGAGCAGTGTTCTCAGCATTGCTACACACAACAAGGGCTAATAAAAATGTGCAATTAATGAAACTTAAATACAGTATTAGACACTTTATACTGCGTAGATAAATGTACTGAACTTTGAGTTTAAGAAACCTGAAATTTTATTTAGATGAAACAGTTAATTGAATGTTTATTTTTTTTTCTTGATCAACAGGCAGTTCAGCAGAAGAAGATTAGGTGTCAATTGGCAGGAGTTGCTCTTGGGGATTCCTGGGTGTCACCTGTAGATGCTGTGTTGTCTTGGGGACCTTACCTCTATGCTACGGTAGGGTTTTCTCAATTATCTCTATTGTACTGCTTTTATATAGTGCTGGAAAGTATTATAATATATTTCCATGTGATTAAGTTGATGTTGTCATAGTGAAAATTAACCTGTATTATACAGATTATAAGAGTGAAACTTTAATTAGGAGAGTGTGAGAAATTGATAACAGAGACAGTGCTACTGATGTAACCCCTTGGTCTCAAGCTTGTTGTAGAATGTTAATTGTTACACTAATGTCCAGAAGAATGAATTTTGACACTTTTGTGATGATTTTTACCATTGTGGCTGATTTTCATGTACAATCATTCAATGATGTGATGCCTTTGTTTTCAGTATGATTGGTTAAACAGTGGTATTGTTTAATTATGGAAACTGCATCTTAAGGGTGATGTGGCCCAGCATTGCTAAGTCTGATATTACCATCATTACCAGACCCCTGAAGATTCATTACCAAATCGAGTGTTTCTTTACCCAATTTTTTATCATACAGTAAAACATGTTTTATGTTAAGGAAAACAGCAAATAGCCTGGTAGCTTATCTTTATATAACTTAAGTGTAGGGAATTGTTAATAATTCAGGGCAACAAAATCATCACCACCCTTCTCCAAGTTCACCCCTTATGATCATATGTTACCTGAATTTTATCGGTGTTAATAGCAAATAATTTTCATTCTATATTTAATGGATATTTCCTCACCAACTTTGCTCGAATTGCGTAATTAAAAATAACAGTTAGCAACTCTGTGTATGGGAGACTGTTGGGGCCATGTGAGTCGGAGACTTGGAGTGACCAGTCGGTTGGAGCCGCTGGACGACACTGCCAAAAATCTCGTTGCCTAAGCTTTTCTAGCATTCCCTCATAGTTATGAAGGTAAAAGGCTTTCAGATGGGAAGTAAAAAGAGCTATACCCTTTATCCCAATTCCATTCTTGAAAGAAGATGCGTGCAGAAAAAAGGACAGCTAGTCCGAGATGATACAGCAGCACAAGACAATAAAACACTTACTTCTAGGTATAGGGTATTCTGCATATGGCTTATTTCCTTATTTTGTTGTTGTTTTACTTCAAGAACAACATGAAAAGCATTTGTTGCATTAGAATAATTATGAATTGAATTAGGATTCATAGAAGTTAGCAGTTTAGCCACATATGTCCTCTGTAACAAATGATCATTGAATGAGAATCTTTAATGTTTTATATTTTATTCTTGGGTACTAAATAATACTACACCTTCAGAGTAAAACAATTAATTTTCTTATAAATACTCGGGGAAAAGTAACAAGAAACATTTATTTAAGCATATCTTTTATCTAAAGCAAAATTTTTTTGTTTTCTGAATGTTTCCTACCTTATATACGGTAAATATGGAAAATATTTTACATATTCATTAAATATCATAAGCAAGGTTGGTACTGTAGTATGGTTTATGAATGCTGGGAAAAGAAGTATGTGTACATGGAGTTGAGAGTTTGCTCTAGCCTTTTGACTTACTGTGGAGGCCATTACTTTACATCTGTGATACTATTCCTTGCATTGTTTTTCTTCAATTTTACTTGTATTTCGTTATATTAGATTTGTATTTGTGATAGTAATGCAAGACTCGTCACTTTAGCCACAACTCTAGCCTTTCCCGTACTACTCCAGGCCGAGCTGTGAGCTGTGTTATGTTATTTTTTAACTCCTAAATTTGAGTAGATACAGGGACTCTCAATCTTACATACAGAGTGTACAAAAAGAGATAAATATTTTTCATAAGGTCAAAAAAGAAAAGGAAATAAACCTTCTTTGTGTCTTAAGAGGAGGGGGGGGGTGATTTTGGCTGTTCTGAGCTGTCTCCTGTATGTATTGAACTACAGTACAGGTGCTCCTCTACTTACGAACTAGTTACGTTCCTGAGGCTTGTTTGTAAGTCCAATTGTTTGTAAGTCCAACTTTACTCTTGTAGATACCAAACATATTGTAAAAAATTAAAATATTATGGATATTTAGTACAGCTATACCCTTTAATGCAGCCTTAAAACCTGGCTCACTCTTCTCCTCTTAGGTAATGTTTGTTCTATCTGGAATTTTCTTCAAAATAATCCAGTCTCATCCACATTAAACACCTGTTCTGGCAGGTAACTCCCCTCAGTAATGATGTTTGTATCTCTGAAAGTTTGTAAGTTGAACATTCTTAAATAGAGGAGCACCTGTATTGACAAATTTCGTTGTTCTGCAGCCATATGGCAATGCAGTACAGAATTACCCCGCTTTACACGGTTTCACTTTCCGCGCTTTCTCATTTACGCGGTACCTTGCCACAACCGGACTTTCACTTTCCGCGGTGCATCTACTCATATACGCGGTGAAGTATAATTAATTTTTTATTTAGCTCATAAAATTCATACAAATTACCCAGCCAGAATATAATTTACATTGCTGGAATTCTTACAATATGATGATCATTTTGAATATAAACATCATGGATTTTGCATTAGACATACAAATTTTAGATCTAATGTAATAATTTGGTTTACACAAAGCAAATATTTTATCCTTTGTGCAGAATATATGAAGTTTACATTCAAAATATTCCCTGGCCTGCAAGGAATCCAGAAATGTCAATTATATTATCCTAACTTTAGTCTGAGTTATTATTTACAGTGACCCCTCGGTTAACGAACTCAATCCGTTCCAGAAGGTCGTTCGTTAACCGAAAAGTTCGTTAACCAAAACCATTGTTCCAATGGGTTTTTGGGTAATTGGTTCCAGCTCACCGAAAATTTCCTAAATTCAACAAAAATGGTAGAAAAGTTCACTTACTTTGAGGTGTGTATGTAGAAGGCTCCTGGATGATGATGATGATGATGATGGGATTTAGAATGGGGGTGGAGGAGAAGGAAGAAGAGAAGGCATTGGGGTGGAAGAGAAGTCACCCCATGGCGCCATTTCACCCATAAAATTTTAGTTCTCTTGGTGTAATTCAAGATTATTTTCTTTAAATCAACACTGCACTGCATTATATATTGTCAATATGTAAAATATATTTCAAAATGACCAATAATTTGCTTGGAAACACAGAAAAAAAGCGTTTAGTTGAAGAGAGTCTCAAGCAAGATGTTACCTCCAGTGAAAACAGAGAGAGACTAACGCCTGTTTGCTGTGTTAAGAGACTGGATGCCGCGCATTAAACTAGTCACTTTACCTTCAATTATGTTCAATAATTGTTAAAATGACTAAAAAATTGAATATTAAACTTTTAAAATTATTGAATAGTATAAACTTCTTGATATTTACTAAAATAGTAAGGAATTTAAGCCCTAGAACCGATTAATGTATTGGCGGACTGATACTAAAGTTGGTTGCCCGGTCAGTGCAAGCGAAAACATGTTGAGGTTGGTTCGTAAGAAATTCGTTAACCGAATTTTTGTTCGTTAATCGAATTGAAGATCCTTATGGAAGGCAGTTCGTTAACCGAAATATTGTTAACCGAAGCGTTCGTTAAACGAGGGGTCACTGTATTACTAAAAATGTAAATATACTATTTTCTCCCAAAGCTTCTCTGGTAGGGAGGGAAGGTGGGGGGTAGGGAGGGAGGGAGGGAGGGACCGACCCAGCTAGGGCGGACTATTTTGATTGACAGATAGTGTCCTTGAAGAATATTTCTTTGTTTATTTACTGACGATATATGTTTTAGCTCAAAAAATTCATACAAATTACCCAGCCAGAATATAATTTACATTGCTGGAATTCTTACAATATGATGATCATTTTGAATATAAACATCATGGATTTTGCATTAGACATACAAATTTTAGATCTAATGTAATAATTTGGTTTACACAAAGCAAATATTTTATCTTTTGTGCAAAATATATGAAGTTTACTTTCAAAATATTCCCTGACCTGCAAGGAATCCAGAAATGTCAATTATATTATCCTAACTTTAGTCTGAGGTATTATTTATTACTAAAGGTTAAAATCTAGTGTTATTCACCCAATAATTTCTCAGAGAGGTAGGGGCTAGTGAGCTGGGAAGAGGGGGGGGGGATTTGAGTCCATTATTTGAATGGACATTAACTTGGCGACTGTATTTCTCTTAATTATTAATTGTGTGAGCATACCATCATAAAATTTAGATGTTATTTTTACTACAACATAGATATTGTGTTGGAAAAAGTGGAGTTTGGGGGTCGGCCCAGTCTCTATTGGAATTAATCCCATATGTTCTGTTGTTCACTTTACGCGGTTTTCACTTTCCGAGGTACCCTGTGGGTTCAATTGGTGTAAATCAGGGTATTACTGTATATGAAGGAGGGCCTTAGAATCACAAGGCCATAAGTATCATTTTTTAAAATGTGAGAAACAAGCCCCTTAAGTTTTTTGTTTGTTACTCCACCCCCTCAGACCAAGCTCCACAAGACACAACAGGACTTAAAGAATACGTTGATACCAATACAATAGAACTTCGATTTAAAGCGATTCAATTTAAAATTATTGATTTCAAGTGACACCCACAATTAAGAGCAATGTTTTAATTTAAAGCGAATCTTTCCTATTTTGCGCGAATCAATCTGGCGCATCATATTTTAAAATTCGTGCCTAATGTTTCTCTGGGCACGGTACACTCTCCTAAGGGCAAAGTTGTACTGTACATGTACTCAAAATAATGTACTAAATGATTACTAAAACTTTTGTCTAGTGCAAACTATAGCATGATTATATTAAAATTAATCACTATTTTATAAGAATTCCAGCAATGTAAATTATATTCTTCGTGGTCACTCTTAAGGACAGATAAATAAATAAGCACTAGACCTTGGCATCAACTTTCAAATATATCTCTACACCTCTCCTTGCCCCCCCCCCCCATCTTCCCATCAGCTGATCACTAGTAAACAGATCATTTCATGTCCCATAATTTTAGCTGTGTTGATTTATGAGTGTTTGTTTTAACATAATACTACAGAAAACAATGTTTTGTTTTTTGTAGGAGATGGGCTGAGGTGCGTCTGGGTAGACTCTCAGTCTTTTTAGTACAGTATTTTGTTTCTCTCTCAAGTACCAAACTAAATTATTTCATTGAAGCAACACTTCGATTAAGTGTGAATTCAGTTTAAAGCGACCTCTCTTGGAACATATCACTTGTTGTATCTACGTTCTACTGTAACTCCATTTCCCCGCGGTGGTGCTTGTGGCCTTGTGTTTCCGAGGCCCTCATATTTTGTTGTAACTTATTTATTGGTATCATTTATATTTATTCCTCACAGAAAACTATAGCTACAGGAGGAAAATACACAAGTTTATTTTTTCCTAAATAAGGTGATACCTGTATCTCCATTAGCCGGAACAATTTGTACAGAGCACTTCCGGGAATGAGAGATTTCCAAGTAACGAGATGACTCCCTCAAAGCCGGAAAAAAATCCCTAATCCCCGAAATTTTCCAGGATTTTCCGGGTAATGGATGGAAAATTTTTCTCGGAAGTTTCAAAATGATGCATTATTTTGACTCGTAAAGCCGGAAAAATATCCCCCTTCCCCTGAATTTTCTGGAATCTCCGTTAGCTGAAATCCCTCAAACTTGGAACTCTTTGATAGCCGGAATTGCAATTTTCTTGGAAAATCATTCCCATAGCTGGAATTTTCCTGATACCCAGAAAATTCTGGAAAATTCTGGAAAATTCCGGGGATAGGGGAGTTTTTTCCCAGGTTTGAGAGATGAAAATCAGGCGCATTTTTAGAAAATTTTTAGAACATTTTTCCGACTAACGGGGATATCACTGTATTACTACTCCCTGATGAAATGAGGGTGTGTCTTATATGGCCGCGGGTCTTATATGCCATAAAATAGGGTAGATCATTGACCAAGATTGCATGGCATTGGGGAACATGAAAAGCAAGTTTCTGTACTAGTCCAATAAATCGATTAAGTACCATACATAGGCATAATCTGGAAGGTGGCGGTTATAGGGGGCCCTGGTCCCCCCAATTAACCCTTGTGTTCAGTCTATTTTACCTCACTGTGTCAGGTCCATTGTATCTTGTCAACAAGAGAAATATTTAAAAGAGGAAAACAGGATTAGAAGGCAAAACTGTGAATGAAAATTATTTTACAAGTTAATTTTATTTGACCACTGGTATGGTTGTATACACCAGGTCAGTATTTTTAAGTTATAGAAATGTCATTCTGAGGTTCTGAGCAACATCTTTCTTGTAGGGTGCAAACACCTGGACTCCCCAGAGAAGCCTAATCCCATACACCGATGGTACTGTAGTATAGTATTGTTTCTTGAAAGTATTGCTAACTTAATTAGCATTTGAAGATTAGTGTACTATGAGTCACTGTAGATATGCTGAGTACAGATCTGTGTTGTTGGTGACAACACATGTTAGTATGGCAGTGAAGACTCACCTTTTAAACTTGAGTGGTAATTGATCTATCACAATATTTCCTCTTGAGGGGAATATGGTTTTCTTGGGAAGAATTAAACAAATTCATAATGTTTTCAAAATTTTTGTCTGTTTTTGGACTTGTTCTGTATTAACTCCAGTCATACTCATCAGGGGTCATGATCTTTGACTGGTGACATTACATGAGCTGCCCAATCTAATGTTAAATCATAAAGTAAGATTTCAGGATTAATCTCTCATTTTTGTTATGTCTGTTCCAGTCGTTGATCGACTCTGCAGGACTGGGCAAGGTCAGCAACAAGACTAAAGCAGTTGCTGATGCTGTTTCTGCAGGAAAAATGGCACAAGCTACCAAGCTTTGGGCTGAGACAGAAGAGCTGATAGAAAATGTAACTAATGGAGTTAATTTCTACAACATTCTTAAGAGTCCACACAAAGATAACTCCTCCAACTCAATTACAGTATTATCTGGACACCAGATCACTTCAAAGAATCATGGTGAGATGGCATCTTTATTTGGTAAAATTTACACTGAATACCGGTACAGTATTAATATCCTTTTCTGTGCTGAATGTACAGTATTCCTTTCTTGACTTTCATATCTACTTTTGTTTCAAATAGAGTTTTATGTATACAGTACTACTTTTGTATTTCTTCTAAGAGTTATGTTTCACCCACTACCTCACTGAAATATAGCAGATTACCTTTTGTCTACTATCTTAATCTTTACAAGGTTTACTATATGACAATAGTATAGAGCAATCTATGACTATGGCCTTCCAAGCTGGAAGATTTTAGAAAACCTTAGGCCATGGCATGTGGTGAAGACACTTATTTTTTATATGAGAAATTATAGACCATGGCTTACCTTTAAACCGGGTATGGGCAACCCGCAGCCCGAACCATGTCTTTGTGCGGCCCGCAGAGTGATTGAGAAATTCTATTTAATGTGGCCAGCTGTTCAGGTAGATGCAGCGAGTTTATGGCGATTAAAGCAATATATATTAAAAGAATAATCTTTACACACAATTCATTATTTTTCATCACCTAAGAGTAAGTAACTACGAAAATGTAACAGTGAAATAAGTGTAAATAGTCAACAATATAAACATTTTAACCTGTGAGTTTACGGGCCAAGTTCGACGCTGTCTGTTTGATGAATTAGCTGGTATGTGGCAATGGGTCACTTGGGAATCAACTAAGGTTGGGTAAGTCCAAGTGGGGTCACGGGCGGTGGTCACACAGGTCAAAGGTAAACGTCTCTTCCTTGTTGACTAAGACCACCACCTCTACCATCGCCACTACTACTACTGCAACTACTGATGTTCTTCAGTGAACCTGTTCATCCTGTTCCTTGAGTGTCTTCCTCTCCCTCTGACACTGGTTCCACCACCAGAACTTCATTCATGAGGAGGCACCTATGGTGTTACTTACAAGTTAGAATGATGCCCTGGTTCAATGGCTGTATGAGTGAGGTGGTGTTAGGCAGCAAGAACTTAACTCTGATGTGCCCATCAGCACTGGGTAAGTCATCCTGAGGGTGGGCAGGCACATCATTGTCAAAAATGAGCAAAGCCTTGACCTCTTGTCTGGGGACACCATGGATTGTCATCTGGAACTGTCTGACAGCATGCACAAAGACATGGTGGAAGCAGCCTTCAAAGAATTCCCTGGTGAACCAAGCCATTTTGTTGCTTTTGTTGCCACACCAGGACACAAGAAGATTATCTATGGAATTGTGCAACATTGTTGGCCTCTGGGGATTTCCCACCACCACCAGCATTTGCAAACAACAGCAGTGATACACACTGCTTGCTGGCCTCGAGTCCAGGGATGTTACTTTCCCGCCAGGATGCCATGGTGCTATTTGGCAGGGAGTTCCAGAAGAGGCCTGTCTCATCAGCGTTGTACATTTCATACAACTCCCCTTTGAATGGTTGGATACTCACCACATCAACATTCAGTTGTTGGTGTTCCCGTGCCACCTATAAAATTTATAGGGCCACCCAAAACTCCCACAGAAGTCAGAAATATCCAGCAGTGTTGCAAATCATTGTGTGGCATCACAGACCTCAATGCCACGAATGGGAACACCACTAGCTGATTACAGGACATGAAACAGAATCAGCATTAATGGCACTAAATTCGATTGGAGTAATGTCAGGTGGAGTACTCCAAGGCTCAGTAATTGGGCCATTACTGTTTATTATACTATACACAAATAGCATAAAAATAGGTGTAGACAGCGACATAGTAAATATGGTACATAAAATAGGGCGTGTAATAAAATCTGACAAGGACTCCGAAAAGTTAAAGGAATATCTAACCAAACTTTTCTCATGGTCTGAAATATGTCAGATGAAATTTAATGTGGAAAAATGTAAAGTACTTAGCCTAGGAGATGTAAATAGGGAAACCAAATATCAGATGAACAACATTGATATAGAGAAATCCGACTGAGAAAGATTTAGGGGCAATGATAAGTAGGAATCTTAAATCAAGACAACAGTGCGTATTTGCTCAAAACAGGGCTAACATAGTACTTGGGTTCATACAAAGTAGTGTTAGTTACAAGACTAGTGAGGTTATCCTAAAACTATCAGCTATTTTCTCACTGTATATCTTGCAAGACCTCACTTGGATTACACAGTTCAGTTTTGGTCACCATACTACAGAATAGATATCGAATCCCTAGAGAGCATTCAGTAGGATGACGAGGCTAGTCCTGTGCATTAGGAACCTTGAATACAGACAGGTTAAAGCATCTTAATTTGCACTCCCTTGAGAGACGTAGTGAGGGGTGATGTTTTAGAGGTGTATAAATGGAAGTCAGGGTTAAACAAAGGTGATATAACAAAGGTACTTAAACTAATTAAACAGGAGCAAACACATAGTAATGGCTTTCAATTAGACAAATTTGGATTTAGGCATAAGATAGGTAAACACTGGTTTGGAAATAGAGTAGTGGATGAATGGAACAAGTTACCAAACATCATCATTAACTTGAACACGCTGGGAAGCTTCAATTATAGGTTGGGCAGATATGTGAGCGATAGGAGTTGGGTGTAAACGGTGCTGCCCAGTAGGGGCCAATAGGCCTTCTGCAGCTTCCTTAATTCTCATGTTCTTATGCTCTTATATTCATTCTTCATTTTGTCAATTGCTTTCTTCACCCATTCTCTTTCCATCCTTAGGCATAGTCCCTGTACAGTCCTGTATTAATATGTAATATTAAGTTGAATTGATTATTCTAAATGAGGCGTCTCGCATCGTAAGGTGCATTCAGACCATCTGGGCGAAACCCCCCCCCCCCCTTTTTTTTGGAAAGCACTATTTTTGGCTTAGCTCTATACGATGGTAGTTGAAAAAATCTCCTTACTAGACTGTAAATAAGGTTGAAAGCCCTTTGAAAATAGGGTAGAACATCGATTTGTGGCAGACAGGAAATTATGGGCTTGGCTTTCCAGTCAGTGAGTGAGTGAGAGGAGCAGGTGGCCAATCACAGCAGCTGGCCTACAGCCTCCTCCCCCGTCTCGGCCAATGACAGTGAGCATCTGCTATCTACGTCACTGCCTCTCCTGCGGGCGGGATCTACACTCTGATATCGATTAAAGTAAAAAAAAGCCATAAGCGGGTGGGAGTTTTGTTGCTTCAAGTCAACATTGCAACAACCCAGTACATTACTTCATGACATGCTACCTACCATCTCCAAGTATAGTCCTTTAGCTTCAAAATGCATCAAAAATGAATGCTTGTATCTCAAAAAACAGCAAAGTTATGCATGTATGAAGTTGGAAAAACTTTAAAAGTGGTTTTCTCGGTTTCAAATTTTAGCACAAATAACCCATACGATGCAGGTCGCCTCAAATAACCTATGTAGTGCAGTAACAGAACAATTAAAATATTAATTTCAACAGATTACCTCTACAATCACTATGTGGGACAGCCCTCTTCAGTATTGGATCATCTGATGAATGGGCCAATAAGAAACAAACTAAAGGTAATCCCCCAGAATGTGACTTGGGGAGGCCAGAGCCAGTTGGTATTTGAGGCCCTCTCAGCAGATTTCATGAATCCATCTGTCAAAAATGGTGAGTCCCCAACAGCACCAAGTTGAAGTATTTATTTATTTATTATTTTTTTTTAAGATACTGGGGAAAGTCTTTGTGTTAATAGCCCATCCCACCAATATAGTATTAAATATTAGGGCTAGTCAGAGTAATAACCCACTGGTGCTCTTGGCCATAGTTGGAAATCTCATCCCCTCACTTACTTTTGACACAGTTTGCGTCGGTAACAGGAACGGTTTTTCCATATTTGTAAACATTGGGAAGAGCAATCCACACCTAAATTGCACCCTTAGAGATGCATCTGCCAGCTCACGAGGGTAGTGGGAACAACTTAGGTTGTTGATAGGGCTGGTCCACTATTCCAGTGTTTCTACTTTTGGGAGGGGTGCTCCCAGTGTGAGATTTAGCTGAGTGGGAGGGATTGCACCAGCACGGGAGTCCTTAGCGACGGAATTTGCATTGAAAGACCACAAGTTGGCGAATTCGATAGTTACAACAGCATGCATAGGGTGTGTCATTATATTATTTTTAGTTTACCAACATAAATTGTCGGAGAGATGTGGTGTTCCAGGATCTTCGACATTGTTTTCATCCTTATCACTGTCATAATGCATTAATAAAGATATTGTACTCTTAATTTCTTGTATGAATTGATATGTTATTCAACATCAATTAACCAGAATGGCATTTTAAATCAATCTACTACAGTACTGTAACTGTGTTTGTCAGACACACATATGTGTATAACCTTACCACTGTGTGTGTGTATAACCTTACCACTGAGTGTGTATATAACCTTACCACTGAGTGTGTGTATCACCTTACCACTGAGTGTGTATATAACCTTACCACTGAGTGTGTGTATAACCTTACCACTGAGTGTGTATAACCTTACCACTGTGTGTGTGTATAACCTTACCACTGAGTGTGTGTATAACCTTACCACTGAGTGTGTGTATAACCTTACCACTGAGTGTGTGTATAACCTTACCACTGAGTGTGTATATAACCTTACCACTGAGTGTGTATAACCTTACCACTGAGTGTGTATATAACCTTACCACTGAGTGTGTATATAACCTTACCACTGAGTGTGTATAACCTTACCACTGAGTGTGTGTATAACCTTACCACTGAGTGTGTGTATAACCTTACCACTGAGTGTGTATATAACCTTACCACTGAGTGTGTATATAACCTTACCACTGAGTGTGTGTATCACCTTACCACTGAGTGTGTATATAACCTTACCACTGTGTGTGTATATAACCTTACCACTGAGTGTGTGTATAACCTTACCACTGAGTGTGTATATAACCTTACCACTGAGTGTGTATAACCTTACCACTGTGTGTGTGTATAACCTTACCACTGAGTGTGTGTATAACCTTACCACTGAGTGTGTATATAACCTTACCACCGAGTGTATATAACCTTACCACTGTGTGTGTGTATAACCTTACCACTGAGTGTGTATATAACCTTACCACTGAGTGTGTATATAACCTTACCACTGAAGTGTGTGTGTATCACCTTACCACTGAGTGTGTATATAACCTTACCACTGTGTGTGTATATAACCTTACCACTGAGTGTGTATATAACTCATTACTGAGTGTATCACCTACCACTGAGTGTGTATATAACCTTACCACTGTGTGTGTTTAACCTTACCACTGAGTGTGTATATAACTTACCACTGAGTGTGTATCACCCACCACTGAGTGTATATAACCTTACCACTGTGTGTGTATAACCCTTATCACTGAGTGTGTATATAACCTTACCACTGAGTGTGTATAACCTTACCACTGAGTGGCGTTAACCTTACCACTGGAGGTGTATATAACTCACTACTGAGTGTGTATATAACCTGGCTCACTGAGTAAAAATAACTCACCACTGAGTGCATAACCTTACCACTGAGTGTGTATATAACTCAATACTGAGTGTGTATATAACCTACCACTGTGTGTGTATAACCTATCACTGTGTGTGTGTGTATAACTCCACCACTGAGGTGTATATAACCCGGCCTCACCGAGTGTGTATATAAACTACCACTGAGTGTATAACCTTTACCACTGAGTGTATAACCTTACCACTGAGTGTGTATATAACCTTACCACTGAGTGTGTATAACCTGGCCCACTGAGTGTGTGTATAAACTTACCACTGTGTGTGTGTATATAACCTACCACTGAGTGTGTATAACCTTACCACTGTGTGTGTGTATAACCTTACCACTGAGTGTGTATAACCTACCACTGAGTGTGTGTATAACCTTACCACTGAGTGTGTGTATAACCTTACCACTGAGTGTGTATATAACCTTACCACTGAGTGTGTATAACCTACCACTGAGTGTGTATATAACCTTACCACTGAGTGTGTATATAACCTTACCACTGAGTGTGTATAACCTACCACTGAGGTGTATAACTTTACCACTGGAGTGTATATAACCTTACCACTGAGTGTGTATATAACCTACCACTGAGTGTGTATATAACCTTACCACTGAGTGTGTATATAACCTTACCACTGAGTGTGTATATAACCTTACCACTGGCGTGTATATAACCTTACCACTGAGTGTGTGTATAACCTACCACTGAGTGTGTATAACCTTACCACTGAGTGTGTATATAACCTACTACTGAGTGTGTATAACTCACCACTGTGTGTGTGTATAACTCCACCACTGAGTGTGTATATAACTTACCACTGAGTGTATATAACCTTACCACTGTGTGTGTATAACCTTACCACTGAGTGTGTATATAACCTTGCCCACTGAGTGTGTATATAACCTACCACTGAGTGTGTATCACCACCACTGGAGTGTGTATATAACCTTACCACTGTGTGTGTATAACTCCAACACTGAGTGTGTATAACTAACACTGAGTGTGTATCAATTACCACCGAGTGTGTATATAACCTTACCACTGTGTGTGTTTAACCTTACCACCGAGTGTATATAACCTACCACTGAGTGTGTGTATCACCTACCACTGAGTGTGTATATAACCTTACCACTGTGTGTGTGTATAACTCACCACCGAGTGTGTATATAACCTACCACTGAGTGTGTATAACCTTACCACTGAGTGTGTATATAACCTTACCACTGAGTGTAAGACATAATCCTACCACTGAGTGTGTATATAACCCACACTGAGTGTGTGTGTATAACCTGGCTCACTGGAGGTGTATATAACCCACACTGAGGTATATAACTCCACCACTGAGTGTATATAACCTTACCACTTCCTGTGTGTATAACTCAATACTGTGTGTGTGTATAACCTACTAATTGAGTGTATATAACTTACCACTGAGTGTATATAACTCAACACGAGTGTATAACCTTACCACTGAGTGTGTATAACCTACCACTGAAAGTGTGTATATAACTCAATACTGAGTGTGTATAACCTTACCACTGAGTGTGTATAACCTTACCACTGTGTGTGTATGGCACCCAATACCACTGAGTGTGTGTATAACTCACCACTGAGTGTGTATATAACTCCACCACTGAGTGTGTATATATAAACCTACCACTGAGTGTGTGTATAACCTTACCACTGAGTGTGTATATAACCTTACCACTGTGTGTGTATAACCTTACCACTGAGTGTGTATATAACCTACCACTGAGTGTATAACCCACACTGAGTGTGTATATAACTACCACTGAGTGTGTATATAACCCAACACTGAGTGTATATAACCTTACCACTGAGTGTGTATAACCTACCACTGTGTGTGTGTATAACCTGGCCCACTGAGTGTGTGTATAACCTTACCGAGTGTATATAACCTTAACCACTGAAAGTGTGTATATAACCTTACCACTGAGTGTGTGTATCAATTACCACTGAGTGTGTATATAACCTTACCACTGTGTGTGTGTGTATATAACCTTACCACTGAGTGTGTATAACCTTACCACTGAGTGTGTATATAACCTACCACTGAGTGTGTGTATAACCTTACCACTGTGTGTGTGTATAACCTACCACTGAGTGTGTATAACCTACCACTGAGTGTGTATATAACCCACACTGAGTGTGTATATAACCTTACTTCACTGAGTGTGTGTATCACCTACCACTGAGTGTGTATATAACCTACCACTGAAAGTGTGTGTGTATCACCTACCACTGAGTGTGTGTATAATCTAACACTGAGTGTGTATATAACCTTACCACTGTGTGTGTGTATAACCCAACATCAGTGTATATAACCTACCACTGAGTGTGTATATAACCTTACCACTGAGTGTGTGTATAACCTACCACTGAGTGTATATAACCTTACTACTGTGTGTGTATAACCTACCACTGTGTGTGTGTGTATAACCCACCACTGAGTGTGTGTATAACCTTACCACTGAGTGTATATAACCTTACCACTGGAGTGTGTGTATATAACCTACCACTGAGTGTGTATAACCTGGCCTCACTGAGTGTGTATAACCTACCACTGAGTGTGTATATAACTCACACCAGTGTGTGTATAACCTTACCACCGAGTGTGTATAACCTTACCACTGAGTGTGTATATAACCTACCACTGAGTGTGTATAACCTTACTTTCCACTGAGTGTGTATATAACCTACCACTGAGTGTGTATAACTCATCACTGTGTGTGTGTATAACCTTACCACTGAGTGTGTATATAACCTTACCACTGAGTGGTGCATAACCTTACCACTGTGTGTGTGTGTATAACTCCACTGAGTGTATATAACCTACCACTGAGTGTGTATATAACTTACCACTGAGGTAAAATACCTACTACTGAGGTGTATATAACCTTACCACTGTGTGTGTATATAACCTACTACTGAGTGTGTATATAACCTACCACTGGAGTGTGTGATCACTCAACACTGAGGTAAGTATATATAACCTTACCATTGTGTGTGTTTAAACTTACCACTGAGGTGTATATAACCTGGCCCACTGAGTGTGTATCACCCACCACTGAGTGTGTGAGTATAACCTTACTACTGTGTGTGTGTATAACTCACTGAGTGTGTATATAACCTTACCACTGAGTGTGTATAACCTTACCACTGAGTGTAAGTATATAACCTACCACTGAGTGTGTATATATAACCTTACCACTGAGTGTGTATATATAACCTACTACTGAGTGTATAACCTGTACTGAGTGTGTGTTATAACTCCACCACTGAGTGTGTGTATAACCTACCACTGTGTGTGTATATAACTCAATACTGAGTGTGTATATAACCTTACCACTGAGTGTGTGTATAACCTGCACCACACTAAGTGTGTATATAACCCAACACTGTGTAGAGCATAACCCATTACCGAGTGTGTATATAACCTTACCACTGAGTGTGTATAACCTGGCCACACTGTGTGTGTGTATAACCTACCACTGAGTGTGTATATAACCTTACCAATTGAGTGTGTATATAACCTCACCACTGAAGTGTTTATCACCTACCACTGAGTGTGTATATAACCTTACCACTGAGTGTGTGTATAACCTACCACTGAGTGTGTATAACCTTACCACTGAGTGTGTGTATATAATCTACCACTGAGTGTGTGTATAACCTTACCACTGAGTGTGTGTATAACCTACCACTGAGTGTATATAACTCACCAGTGTGTATATAACCTTACCACTGTGTGTATATAACTCATTCACTGAGTGTATATAACTCAACACTGTGTGTGATATAATCTACCACTGAGTGTGTGTATATAACTTACCACTGAGTGTGTATAACCTACCACTGAGTGTGTATATAACCTACCACTGAGTGTGTATAACCTTACCACTGAGTGTGTGTATAACCCGCTCACACTGAGTGTGTGTATATAACTCAACACTGTGTGTATATAACTTACCACTGAGCGCGCCAAAGTATAACCTACCACTGAGTGTGTGTATAAACTTACCACTGAGTGTGTATAACCTTACCACTGGAGGTGTATAACTCAATACTGAGTGTGTATATAACCTGGCTCACTGAGTGTGTGTATATAACCTACTAATGTGTGTGTATATAACCCACACTGTGTGTGTATAACCTTACCACTGAGTGTGTATATAACCTGGCTCACTGTGTGTGTATATATAACCTTACCACTGAGTGTGGAGCATAATCCACACTGAGTGTGTGTGTATCACCTTACCACTGTGTGTGTGTATATAACCTACCACTGAGTGTGTATATAACCTTACCACTGAGTGTGTATAACCTACCACTGAGTGTATATAACCTTACCACTGTGTGTATAACCTTACCACTGAGTGTGTATATAACCTTACCACTGAGTGTGTATATAACCTACCACTGAAGTGTGTATAACCTACCACTGGAGTGTGTATATAACCTACCACTGAGTGTGTATATAATCCACACTGAGTGTGTGTGTATAACCTTACTACTGAGTGTGTGTAATACCTTACCACTGAGTGTGTATATAACCTTACCACTGTGTGTATATAACCTACCACTGTGTGTGTATATAACTCACTACTGTGTGTGTGTATAACCTTACCACTGTGTGTGTGTATAACCTTACCACTGAGTGTGTGTGTATAACCTTACCACTGTGTGTGTATATAACTACCACTGTGTGTGTTTAACCTTACCACTGAGTGTGTATATAACCTTACCACTGAGTGTATAACTACCACTGAGTGTGTATAACCTACCACTGAGTGTGTGTATAACTCCACCACTGAGTGTGTATATATAACCTTACCACTGAGTGTGTATATATAACTCACCACTGTGTGTGTATCACCCACACTGAGTGTGTATATAACTCACCACTGTGTGTGTTTAACTCACCACTGAGTGTATATAACTCCAACACTCGAGTGTATAACCTTACCACTGAGTGTGTGTATAACCTTACCACTGGAGTGTGTGTATAACCTTACCACTGAGTGTGTATATAACCTTACCACTGAGTGTGTGTATATAACCTACCACTGTGTGTGTATATAACCTTACCACTGAGTGTGTATAACTCCACCACTGAGTGTGTATATAACCCAATACCACTGAGTGTGTATATAACCTTACCACTGTGTGTATATAACCTTACCACTGAGTGTGTATAACTCTACCACTGAGTGTATATAACCTGGCCTCACTGGAGTGTGTGAGTATAACCCACCACTGTGTGTGTATATAACCTACCACTGAGTGTGTATAACCCACACTGAGTGTGTATATAATCTACCACTGAGTGTGTATATAACCCATTCACTGTGTGTGTATATAACCTACCACTGAGTGTGTATATAACCTTACCACTGAGTGTGCTAACCTGGCCTCACTGAGTGTATAACCCACACTGAGTAAGTGTGTATATAACTCCACCACTGAGTGCGTGTATATAACCTTACCACTGAGTGTGTATATAACCTTACCACTGAGTGCGTGTGTATCACCTACCACTGAGTGTGTATATAACCTACCACTGTGTGTATATAACCTTACCACTGAGTGTGTATATAACCTTACCACTGAGTGTATAATCCCACACTGAGTGTGTATATAACCTACCACTGAGTGCAGAGAGCAACCCTACCACTGAGTGTGTGGCATAACCTTACCACTGAGTGTGTGTATAACCTTACCACTGAGTGTGTATATAACTCAACACTGAGTGTGTATATAACCCGCCCACTGAGTGTGTGTATAACCTACCACCGAGTGTGTATATAATCTACCACTGAAAGTGTGTATATAATCTACCACTGAGTGTGTATAACCTACCACTCGGGAGTGTAGGCAATCTACCACTCGGGAGGTGATATAACCTTACCACTGAGCGTGTGTATCACCTACCACTGTGTGTGATATAACCTTACCACTGAGTGTGTATAACCTACCACTGTGTGTATATAACCTTACCACTGAGTGTGTATATAACTCATCAATGAGTGTGTGTGTATAACCCACCACTGAGTGTGTATAAACTACCACTGAGTGTATAACCTACCACTGAGTGTATATAACCTACCACTGAGCGTATAACTTACCACTGAGTGTGTGTATAACCTACCACTGAGTGTGTATATAACCTGTCACCGAGCGTGTGTATAACCTTACCACTGTGTGTGTATATAACCTTACCACTGAGTGTGTATATAACCTTACCACTGAGTGTGTATATAACCTTACCACTGAGTGTGTATAACCTTACCACTGTGTGTGTATATAACTCACCACTGAGTGTGTATGTATAACCTTACCACTGTGTGTGTGTATAACCTACCACTGAGTGTGTATATAACTCACCACTGAGTGTGTGTATCACTACCACTGAGTGTGTATATAACCTTACCACTGGAGTGTGTATAACCTACCACTGAGTGTGTATAACCTACCACTGTGTGTGTGTAACCTTACCACTGAGTGTGTGTGTGTATAACCTACCACTGAGTGTGTGTATAACCTTACCACTGAGTGTGTGTATAACCTTACCACTGGTGTATATAACCTACCACTGAGTGTGTATAACCTACCACTGAGGTGTGTATATAACCTTACCACTGAGTGTATATAACTTACCACTGAGTGTGTGTATAACCTTACCACTGAGTGTGTATAACCTTACCACTGAGTGTATATAACCTACCACTGAGTGTGTATATAACCTTACCACTGAGTGTGTATATAACCTTACCACTGAGTGTGTATATAACCTTACTAATTATATAACCTTACCACTGAGTGTGATATATAACCTTACCACTGAGTGTGTATATAACCTACCACTGGTGTGTGTATAACCTTACCACTGAGTGTGTATAACCTACCACTGAGTGTGTAGATAACCTACCACTGAGTGTGTATATAACCTACCACTGAGTGTGTATAACCTTACCACTGTGTGTGTGTATAACCTTACCCCACTGAGTGTGTGTATAACCCACCACTGAGTGTGTATATAACCTACCACTGAGTGTGTATATAACCTACCAGTGTGTGTATAACCTTACCACTGAGTGTGTATATAACCTTACCACTGAGTGTGTGTATATAACCTACCACTGAGTGTGTATATAACCTACCACTGTGTGTGTATAACCTTACCACTGAGTGTGTGTGTGTATAACCTTACCACTGAGTGTGTATATAACCTACCACTGAGTGTGTATATAACCTTACCACTGAGTGTGTATAACCTTACCACTGTGTATAACCTTACCACTGAGTGTGTATATAACCTTACCACTGTGTGTATATAACCTTACCACTGAGTGTGTATATAACCTTACAACTGTGTGTGTATAACCTCCCACTGAGTGTGTGTATAACCTTACCACTGAGTGTGTGTATAACCTTACCACTGAGTGTGTATATAACCTACCACTGAGTGTGTATAACCTTACCACTGTGTGTGTGTATAACCTTACCATGGGTATAACCTTACCACTGAGTGTGTATATAACCTACCACTGAGTGTATATAACCTTACCA